GCCTTTGTGCGCATGAAGCAGCTGATTGCCGAGCACTACGTGGGCGCGGTGATGATCTGCGATGCCCGCGTCTACTCGGGCAGCCTGCTCAGCCCCAACTACGGCTGGATCTGCGACGAGCTCATGGGCGGTGGAGGCCTGCACACCATGGGCACCTACATCGTGGACCTGCTGACCCACCTGACCGGCCAGAGAGCCGAGAAGGTCCACGGGCTCCTCAAGACCTTTGTGAGGCAGAACGCGGCCATCCGTGGCATCCGGCACGTCACCAGCGACGACTTCTGTTTCTTCCAGATGCTCATGGGCGGGGGCGTGTGCAGCACAGTGACACTCAACTTCAACATGCCGGGTGCCTTTGTGCACGAGGTCATGGTGGTGGGCTCTGCAGGACGCCTTGTTGCCCGGGGGGCTGACCTCTACGGGCAGAAGAACTCTGCCACCCAGGAGGAGCTGCTGCTGCGGGACTCACTGGCTGTGGGCGCGGGGCTGCCTGAGCAGGGGCCCCAGGACGTCCCGCTGCTCTACCTGAAGGGCATGGTCTACATGGTGCAGGCCCTGCGGGAGTCCTTCCAGGGGCAGGGGGACCGCCGCACGTGGGACCACACCCCGGTCTCCATGGCCGCCTCCTTTGAGGACGGGCTGTACATGCAGAGTGTGGTGGACGCCATCAAGAGGTCCAGCCGATCGGGGGAATGGGAGGCCGTGGAGGTGCTGACGGAGGAACCCGATGCCAACCAGAACCTGTGTGAGGCGCTCCAGCGGAACAACCTGTGAGCCTGCACACGGGCTCCCTGCCATGGGGCACAGGGGCCAAGGAGGGGCCAGGAGCAAGATGGAAGGGCTTGGCTGTAGCATAGACAGTGTCATTCATGTAACAGGTCAGCATGGGTGGGGTCCAGGTGAAGCCCACGGTGGCCCCAGTAAGACGCCCCTCCAGCACTTCCTCACTGCCCAGAGCTGAGGGCGGTGATGTTCCTGTTGCCACAGCCTGGGGGGCTAGCAGTGTGCAAGAGGCAGAGCTGCTGCCAGGTCTCTGTAGCTAGTGCTGGTGAGCAAGGCGAGCAAAAGCTTGACTTGGGGGCTTCTTTAGCATATCTGTGGTCCCAGTTTGGCTGATTCCTCCGTCCTGAGGAAAATGACAAAAAGCCTTGTTTCCATGCCCTTCTCGGGAGTGTTCTCCAGAGAAACAGAACATTGCATCTCAGGAGTGAGGACAGCAAGGCTCCCTCAGGGATTCATCCGCACCTCCCCTCTCCCTCAGGACTAGGCCCTTCCAGATTCCAGGCTGCCCCTTCCCTGGTGGACAGGAGGGGGTATTCATCAGGAGAGCTCTCGGGGGCTGTTGATTAGAGCAGAGGGCCCTTGATTTGGCAGAGAGAAGACAAGGGAGAACCCTGGAACATCTGATAAACATCAATAAATCAAACTGACACGATGGCACCTGGTTGTTGGCTGTTTGGTAGGTGAGGTTTCTTTAGTAATGAAAGGCCTGTTTATTGCAGTAGAGGGTTTATATTTTCATCTTTTCTGGCAACTCCACAGCAGTTCTGACCTTCAGATCCATCCCTGTCTGGTGGGCCACACAGGCTCCTGCCACCACCTGCCCTCATCTCCCAGCTTCTTCCCTCGCCCCCACATCCCAGGAGCCCTCCGAAGAAAAGCCTTTCCTCAGAAAACAGGGCTCAGGACTTCCTGGTGGGGAGCCGTGGGGCCTTCCTGGGCTGCAGGTCCAGAGGGATTCTGTTCTTAAAACCGTGAGGCTGGCTCCAGGGGAGCCCTGGGGGAGGCGAGGGGAGGAATGGCCCCAAGCGGGCCGGACAGGGTGAGCCTGAGGAGGAAGGCTCCACACACTCCCCCATGAAGTGAGTATGGTCAAACACTGGCCAGCCAGCCAGCCAGACACCAGACATGCATTTATTAACCGTTCTACACAGGGACAGCCTGTTAGCCATGCCAGTCAGTGGTGAGAGTGGGGGAGAGGGACATGTGGTTTGTCCCCTCTGCCAGCTGCCAGGATTATGCCTGGATCAAACTTTCTCTTCTCTAACCATCCCTGCCCTGCCCCGGGCTCCTTGCCAGGAGAAAGAGGGAGGGTGAGCTCCATCTTCCTCTTGGCACCCCTTACAAAAGTCATCCGGCCTGTTTCCTATATTGCCCTGGTTTTATACCTTGTTTCTGTGAGTTGAAATAACAATGGCTAGTATTGAGTATGCTTTTGTTTGTTTTTGTTAATCCTTACCCTAGGATAGTTTTTCCATTGCTTATCAGAGAGAGAGAGAGAGAGAGAGAGAGAGGAGAGAGAGAAAAATATTGATATGCGAGACATTGATGGCCAGGGATCAAACCTGTGTCCCTTCAGCACACAGGGTTGATGCTCTAACCACTTAACAACACTGGCCAGGACTGGAAGATGATTTTTGCAGGCTGGGCACCCTAGCATAGACAATTTATGCATATTATTTAATATCCAAATCACTCCATAAGGTGCCAATATTAATATTGTCATATTCAGATCAGAAAACTGAGGCAGAGAAGAGCCAAGTTACTTACCTCCTGTAAGTTATAAGTGACGGAGCCAGGAGCCTGTTCAGGGTCATTTGACGATGCAGTCTGACCCTGAACTACTCTTTCCTCAGCACTTGTGGCTCCTCAGCCTCCCAGTGCCCTTTAACTATAGCATTTCCTGGGGGTTGGCCCCTCCTCTCTTAGATCCCCATCCAGATTACTGCCCCCTCCCTGCAGCAAGAATCTCAGGCTGGCCTGACCGAGGAGGAGGACTGCAGAGAGAGGCTCTGTCCCCCTCCCCCACACTTCCTCCCAGGGACCACCCGCTCAGCTCCAGGTCAGTCCCCGTGTTACTAGGATGTTGAGATCCATCCTAACTTTGGGAATTGACCGAGAACGCACATGCATCTATTCTTTTTGACTCAGATGCTCCTACTTAAGAAAGGGTCACATTGCTGACTCACTTAGGTTTTGTGGCACTGTTAGGTTTTATAGGGCTCAGCAGCAAACCCCTTCTTTACAAAGATGTATTCCCAGAAGCCCCTGGGCAGACTGCAGGGGCTGAGTGCAGAGCTGCTTTGATAAAGATCTCAGATCCTTTGTTGGCACTCCCCAAGTCCATGGCCATCCCTTAAACTTCTTTTACTGTCATATCTCTTGGGTTGGCCCCAGGAAGGAAATGAACCTTGAAGTAGCTAGATGCCTGTGGTCCGGCAAGGAAGTGTTTCTGGGTCCCCAGGGTTAACGCCTGCAGCTGGTTCCAGGCTTGTGTTGCACTGCCCCCTCCTGGAGGAAGGCAGCATCACCTCCCAGAACCTGTGTCCCAAACTCGGGGGATCTTTGAGTCAAAGTAAAAGGGTTTCCCAAGCCATTGAAAGTGCAGTCAACTTTTCCCTCTCTGTTACAGCAACCAGAAGAGAACTTCCAAAATACCGGTTGCTTATTTTCCAACCCCCAGCCAAATCTAGGCCTCAGACCAGACAATGACCGCAGTCTCCTTGCCTCAGTGTCCCCAGTCTCGCCCTTTCTCGTTCTGTCCTTCACACAGCTGCCCTCAGGACCTCTCCAAAATGTCAGGCCAAGATCCTTCCTTGCCTACATCCCTCATCACTCTCAGACTCACCAACCTGGCCTCCTGATGGCCATGCTCTGCTTTAGCCGAGCCAAGTGGCCCTCCTGCATGCAGCTGGCATCTTCCGTACCAGCAAGGCTTCATCCCTGGCCACCCACCTCTCCAGGAACCAGCAGGAGGGCTGCCTCTTCACTATTCCCCAGGCACAGTGACAGCACCCCCACTGCCTGGGTCCCAGTCTTTGTCCTCAGCTCTTTCATAACATGTGTCTGCTTGCATCGTGCTGCTGCTGCATTTCTCCCTCGGAGTGAGCTTCTAGGAGTAGTGGTGATGTTCCTTTCTGTGTAACGTGACCAGATGTCCCGCTTTTGGCGGGACAGTCCCGACTTTTAACAACCTGTCCCGTGCCCCGCAGCGTTTTAAAACAGTCCCGATTTTTGGAAAGAACACTGCGGGACATGGGACAAATTGTTAAAAATTGGGACGTCTGGTCACCTTATTTCTGTGGCTACTGTCACCCACCCTGCCTAGACAAGCCCGTCAGGCAACAGACCTCAAGAAATGTATTAATAGGTTGTTTTATTCTATGGTTACTGAGTATTTCCTACCTCTCCTGTTGAAAGAGACGGAGCTTCCTTATCAGTGTTGGTCCATACCTCTAGCCCTGGAGACCACACGGGAAAGCAGATGCTTGGCCTTCTTGAGTCAGGCCTTAGCCAGAGAGCCACAGGGTCCTCAGATCTGCAGGGCTCAGTGAGTAAAGGGTATGAGACCATATCCTTGAGGCCCAGGATGTGGTCTCATAGGCGGCCATTTCTCTCCAGGCTTCAACCATAACATGAGGAGGTCAAGCTTAGTTACCTTGAAGGCCTCTCTTCCTCTGAAAAATCCCAGAGAGCCTATGCTCATCCCTAGGGAAAGTACTCATTCCGTGTGGTCCCTGTGGACAGTGTTTCCTGGGGTAGTCAAATCATTATCCCGGGAAAAGTATAGGTACCTTTTAAACATATATATATATATATATGTGTGTGTGTGTGTGTGTGTGTGTATATGTATGTATATGTATGTATGTATGTATATGTGTATCTATAATAATAAAATATGCTAATTAGACCGGACAACCTTCCGAATGGAGCCAGAGCTTCAAGGGAAGCCCGGGAAGTTGCTGTAGATTGTGGGCTCGGTTGTGAAGCACCTGCTTTCGTGACCTGACAGTCCCTTTCCTTTCTCTGCCCCCTGTTTCTCATCACCTCCCTCCCCATCCTCACTATATCCTGTCTGATCTTCAGGTTTATTTGAGGGGCCCTTTAAATGCACAGAACCAGGTCCCACCCCTGCAGATTGATTCAGTTAGACCTGAGGTAGTGCCCAGGAGTCTATACTTTTGAGGCTTCAAACCCTGCACTGGGGAGTCCTCCACCCTTTCCATGCATGCTCTCCCTCTTCAGCCATCTCAGTTGGGGAGTCAAAGTCTGAGAAAAAGGAAAAGCATTTATTTTCAGCAAGTCCAAGGTCCCAAGTTGGGGCAGGACAGAATTCCCCCTTTCACGCGAGGGCTGAAACCCCACAGGCTGTGGTCTGGTCCCGGCTTGGGAACAGAGGAGCAACCCCTGGTTTGGGACAGTCACTTGTACTGAGGAGAGAGTGGGGGTACAAGTGGGGCAGCACAGACACTTAGCATCTTGCTGATGTCCACCTGCGTTGACTTATCCATCTCCGTCTTGAGGAGGCCACTGACCCCCAAGCTGGGCAAACCCCCGGGCTCCTCTCCGGCCTCCTCTCCAGGGGGAACCAGAGCATGGGTGGGAGACACGAACACACTGGGGCAAGGCAGCGTGAGGCCTGCGTCCAGCTCACCTGCCACCGGCAGCAAGGCTGGCAGTTGTTCCACACATGCCTCCTTGGGGGCCAGGGTTGGGTCCGACTCAGGTTCCACCTCGGCCTCAGCCTCCCTATCCACTTCCGCTGCCTCGTTCAGCTCAGGGTTGCAATAGTTGATGTACTGGTACAGGGGCCGTAAGCGTTGGGCCTTTCCTGCAAGGACCCGGGGCAGAGCAGGGACTGGAGCACCAAGCTGTGCCATGTCAGGAGGCCAGCAGGCAGGAGGGGAGTGGGGTGGGGGGAAGAAAAGGGCTGGGGACTGCCACTCACGCTCTAGCCCCAAGGACTCCGAGGGTGCAGACACTGTGCTGGCCACAGCTGGGAGCACTGGGGGTCCCAGACTCTTGCGTTTCTTGGCTTTCTTGTGCTGTTTGGCAGACGGTGAAGGCTCGCTCTGGCTACCCTCCAGGTCCTCCCTCTGCAGCGGCAGCCCCTGGGGCAGCTCAGCTTCAGCCCTAGGATGGGCTTGGTGACTAGGCCCTGGGAGGCTGGGGGACAGGAGGCTTGAGGAAGGAAGAGCCCTGCAGGCCCACCACCTCAGGCCCAGGTTCTTGTCCCTTTCCTGGTCAACGAGGCCCAAACTGGATAAGGGCTGAGAGCTCATGTGAGTTCAGTCCTGTACAAGGCCTCGAGACTCCCTCTCTTATTAGGGACAGAGGGGTGAGAAGCAGTGGTGGCGGCAGGAGTGCAGGAATTTGGAATCCTACTGGGGTGTTATATCCCCCACCCCGCCCTGCCAACCCTAATGTCAACCCTATTGTCTTTTCCCTCTGAAAGCCCCCTCACTTGACTGGCTTCCTCTTGGGACCATGACTGGACCTCACAACAGAGGCCATGGGCCTGGGGCCTCGCTCCTCCAGTGCCTCCGCCTCTGGCTTGAGCCGCTCTTCCTCCAGCTTGAGTCGTTCCTCCTGGAGCTCCGGCTCTGAGACTGGTCCTGTTGGACGCTTGTCTTCACCCTGGGTCCCACAGGCCTCGTGAGCTGACACCGGGCCCTGGTTTCCCATTACTGGACACTAGAGGTGACACATAGGTAGCTGGTCACCACAGCCAGACAAGGGTACAGGGGTCAGTCATTAGACACCAAATGCGGATCAAGGGCATCAGCCCAAGCCCCTGTCTGCCTGTGAGGCCTGTCCTGCCAGTGAGGGGGTCCACGTACAGAGTTTGGCCTCCTAGAGAGCGCCGAGGCCCCCAGTAAAGGCTAGGCAGCCCTGATGTTCACCTCAGAGCTCTGAACGTGGCCTCTGGGTGCCTCCGAGAGCTGTGCAGGCCCCTCCGCCGTCCCCTCGTGGGCTCCCGGTCGCCTCTCTGTCCCTGCTGAGGCCATAGCTGCGCGGAGTCAGCACATCTGCTGGGAGTTGGGAGTGAAGGCGAAGACGGGGCCTTTTCACTGCTGTACCCGGAAGACTAGCTCGGAGGTGAGGGTCGGGGTGGGAAAAGGGACCGGCAGGCGATCGATCAACTCAACCCTGACCTGGAACTACAAACCCCAGAAGACTTTGCGCCAGGGGCATTGGCCCCTGACCTGAGAAGCGGAAACTATTGTTGCTTAGCAACAGCAAAACCCGTCGGGTTTCCGCGGCGGGCTGCACAAACCTGCTCTGGTGAGCCCCCCGCCTGGGTGTCGAGGGGAAGAGACGGGGAAGAGACGGGAACGGATGAGGGAAGTGGGCTGGGTGCGCAGGCCGGACGGGGTCCCGTCCAGGGAATGGGCTCGGGGCTGAGGGAGGAGGTGAGGACCCCAGAGACGCAGCCTGGCAGGCCTCCGTGCACCGTTACAGGGCTACGACGGCGGCATGTGCGAGGGCCCGTCCCGCATTTCGGGGCCCATCCCCCCAGACCCTACGCTCTGCCCTGACTACTACCGGCGGCCCGCCTCCGGTGAGTTGGGGGGTGACGCGGCCCAGGAAGGCCCGAGCTAGGCTCGGGTCCAGCTCCGCCACTGAACCCTGCACTCCGCCCTGTCGGACCCCTCAGCCCAAGGGCGCCTTGAGGGAAACGCGCTGAAGTTGGACCTGCTCACCTCGGACCCGGACCCGGACGCCACCCCACCCCGCGGCCCCCGCATCCGTCCTGAAGCCAAAGAGATCCTGGAGCGTGGCCGAGGCGGCGTGGGGGGCATGCTGCTGCAACTTGGGGATATTTCCCTAGGCCCACGGGCCTTTCCCAAGAGTAAGTTCTGGGCAGACAGAACGGGCAGCGAGGCAAATCTGAGATTAAGCCTGAGTTCAAAAACGGATGCTTCTCCTGCCCTGACCCGAGTTCAGGCTTTGCCTCTCTGAGAGTCGGGTTTCCCCTAAAAGGAGGGAGAGATGCACTACCTTTTCCTTCTCACAGAAGCGGACTGAATGAGGTAGTTTCCAGGAAATGCTAATTCAGCTTCATGAATCCACGCATCAATGAAATGTTTGTTGTTTAGTGCCTTCTGTTGGCCAGGCCCAGTAGGTGCTATGAAAACAGGTTGAAGACAGACATGGGCCATTAGTAAGTCAAAGTGGGAGACACTAAACAAGTAAGGTGAATATTATACAATATATATAAGATAATTAATGGTATGCTTCACAATAAAAATGTAGAAAACTCTCAGGGATAGAGGATAAATTACCACGTGAGAAAGGAAATAAGATGGGGAGGTGGAGTACCTGTAGAGGGTCTAACTTAGAGCGGTCAGACCTGTGTGTGCATTGATATGAGTTGGATTTCATGGGCTGTATGTAGGGCAGAGCCTGGTAACGCCTTTTTCCCAGGGAAGGACCCTAAAGACCATGAGAAGGAGAACCTGAAGAGGATCAAGGAGATCCAGAGGCGCTTCCGGGAGCAGGAGCGCAGCCGGGAGCAGGGCCAGCCCAGACCCCTGAAGGCTCTTTGGCGCTCGCCCAAGTATGACAAAGTTGAGTCCCGAGTCAAGGCCCAGCTGCAGGTAACTGCCTCAGAAAGCCAGAAGTATTGTCATCTTATTTGCCAGGAGTCTCTCATGCCCTGATCTGAGTTAGGGGAGGGAGGAAAATCACAGGACTGAGGTAACAGGAGTCAGAGAGAGCTGGTTCTGTTGCAGGGGATTCTCAGAAGTGGTGATGGCTGGGTGGTCCTGAGGGGCAAGTAGGAATTAGGCAAGGGGAGAATGGAAGAGAACATTCTGTATAGATGAAACTTCACAGATAGAAGTCCTAAGATTAGAGGGAGTGTGGGCAGTGGATGCTGTGTACCATTTCCTGTGAGGGCATAAGGCTAAGAAATCAGCCGGACCCATATAAAGAGCCACACAATCCACTTTTCAGCCTTTATTTCTACGGGCAGTGGAAAGGTCAGGGACGGGTACGGTGGTGAGATTCTGTTTTGCGTAGATGGTGACACCATCTCTCTATCAAGGGTAAGACCAGGATTGAGAGAAAAGACAATAAGGTTATATGGGGATGTGCTGAAGCTGGAGCATTTGTGAAACACCCAGGGGGTGGGAGGGTGTCCAGGAAGCAGATGGAGAATCAGGCCTGGATCTCAGGAGTGAGACCTAGAGGTTATTGAGGATCAGGCTGAGGACGATGAGACCAGGGAAATGACCCTGCATTTGTGGGCTTGGGAGCCAGCTGTCAGTGACCTTGGTGGGGACATATCCAGGAAACTTGGAAGCTAGGAAGGAGAGAAAAGGATGGTAGCTGGAGCCAGGACTGAGGTAGGAGGGTGGTTTGTTGTTAAGGATGTGAGAGACACCCATGTTTAAACGCTGATGAGAAGTGTTTTTAAGAGGGAGGAGACCCATAGGGCAGAGGATAGAGGCTCGGTTTTGAGACCTTGACCACAGCCTGACGGATCCCTTTTCTGTGCCCTGCCCTCCAGGAGCCTGGCCCTGCCTCTGCCTCTGGGACAGAGACTGTGCACTTCCTGCGGGCACACTCTCGCTGCGGTCCTGGGCTCCCACCACCCCGTGCCCCCAGTCCCCAGCTAACCCCACCAGATCCCAATGCCAAGGTGAGAGTATGTGTGGGATAGAAGGTGGGACAGGATCCTGGGAGTTTCAGGGGAACAACTCAGTGCGGTCTGCCCATCACGCTTGCCGTGTCCTGCAGGAGCCAGGCCTAGGTGTGGACTTCATTAGCCACAATGCCCGCACAGCCAAGAGGGCCCCCAGGCGGCATTCCCGCTCGCTGCAGGTCCTGGCACAGGTGCTGGAACAGCAACGGCAAGCCCAGGAGCACTACAACACCACACAGAAGGGCCACGTGCCCCATTAGTAGGTCCCAACACCCAGGGTGAGGGATGCCAGTGGCAGGTGGGAGCCTCCATCTGCCCAGGGATTATCAACCTGAATCTATGCATCCACAGCTTGTTGGAGCGTAGGGATTTGTGGCGTCGGGAGGCCGAGGCCCGCCAACATAGCCAGCCGGACCCTGCCATGCCCCCTGGCCACACTCGCATGCCTGAGAACCAGCGTCTGGAGACACTGAGCAATCTGCTCCAGAGTGAGTATGTGGACGGGATGAGGAGCCCACTGAGAACCTTGCGCTCCTGCCTAACACTAACTGTTCCTGGCCCCCCTGTAGGCCAGAGCCAGCTGCTGCGTGAGCTGGTGCTGCTGCCTGCTGGGGCAGACTCCCTGAGGGCCCAGGGCCACCGTGCTGAGCTGGACCGGAAGCTGGTACAGGTAGAGGAAGCCATCAAGATCTTCTCCCGCCCCAAGGTCTTCGTGAAGATGGATGCTTGAGCCCTTTTACAGGGGTAGTGACGGGTCCTAGCTGAGGATCACTGCATGGTTGCAATGGACAGGGTCAGGCCCCATCATCAAGTCTAAAGACAGAAGCAGAGGTGGGGAGGAGTATCCCCAGAGCACTTTTCCTAGCCACTGGTGGCCGCAGAAGGGCCATCCTGGCCCAGCCTCTTTACCCCTTTGTCAAAATTAAACTTTGTACACAGTGGGGTTTGTTTCCATAAGAGCTTTTCTTACCCTATAAATTCTAACTGTGGTGGCCCTCCTGCTGCCCAAATGCAGGAAGGTCTCTCTGCTGCCCTTATCACTCCTGCCTCACGTCCAGGGCAGAAGGGAAGACGAATCAGGGAGGAGGCTGGGGCTGGGATACAGAAGGACCATCTCTGCATTTGTAAAAAAAACCTTTAATGTTCCCCATACTGAGAGGGCCTTATGAACAAGCTAAAATCCCACCAAGAAATCCCCTGGAGTGGCAAAGACTGCTTCTTTATGTGTCAGAGGCTGAAGCCACTACCATCTCCTCGCATGCTCCTCCCCCAGCCAGAGCTGGCTTGCTCCCGATCGTCCAGGGATGGCAGAGAGCTGCGGGCACTTGGAAGTAGGTGGCCTGGGTGCAGGTCCCAGCATGGAGAACCCCGAGACAGCCCATTGGGACAGGGAGGCTGGCGGTTCTCAATGACCAGATCGCTGCTGTCCTCATCACTGTCGGGCTCAGTAGGCCCAGGCCCAGCGGAGGGAGCCCCTGTCAGTCGCCCAGATGCCCCACGCACCACATTATTGCGCTGATTGGCTGGCTTGACAGTGACGATGAGGTTGTGGCTGTTGGCGACCATCATATCTGTCACTTGGTCCAAGGTCTTCCCAGCCACCTCAATGCCATTGACTTCGAGGATCTCATCACTGACAGCCAGCAGCCCTGTACTCTCAGCCAGGCCCCCTCGGACCAGGCGAGAGATGAAGATGCCTGGGACACGTTCCAGGCCCTGGGGAGCTACACGGACGCTCACGCCATCGCGGATGTAGAAGCCGAGCGGGCGGTCAGAACCGTGCTTGTGCAGCCGCACCCGCCGGTGCGTCTCAGGCAGGAGGTCCACGTCTATGACGGAGGAAACCTGGCGGAAATCTTGGGGCAGGCTGATTAGGAGGGGCGGCCGGGAGCGCAGAGGTGCCACTGGCCGAAGGAGGAGCCCCTTCTTACGCCGCTGCAGAGAGTTGGAGGCAAAGGCCAGGACGCTGGAGTCAGCTTCTGGAGAGGGAGACACTGAGATCAGAGACCCCGTTCCCCCTTTCCCATCAGGCCCAGGCAGGGGAAGGGGACACTATAACTACTTCCTACCACCTGGAGGTCAGCCCAAGGACAGGGATTGCTGAGGGTGAAGCCTGAGCACCCTGGTCATGAACTTAATCCCTGTAGACCTCCCCTGTCACCCTACCCACAGAGGCTGCCCTCTGTACCCCATTCTCCTCACCCCGCTTCTGCACTAGCAGGCGCAGCGGCGGGGGCCCACTGGTCAGGGCCCGGTGCAGGCTGTCGTCGTTGGTGAGAGGCAGTAGATCGCCGTGAGCATCTGTATAGCCAAGCAGCACATCCAGCCCCGGGATCTGATGCACCGCACGCAGGAACCTCGAAAACTCTTGGAAGCCGCTCACAGAAGCGCGGGGCAGCGCGAAGCGGCGGAACTCGGCATCAAACTAGAGGCAGGGAGTGGGGGGAGAGAAGGGGTCAGGACGGACCCTGCGT